TGGGACAAGCCCAGAAATATACCCCAAACCATGACTCCATCATCAGATTCTAGGACAGTTTGGACAAGACAAGAAAACGTACCCCAAACCATGACTCCATCATCAGATTCCTGTACAGTTGGGACAAGACAAGAAAACATACCCCAAACCATGACTCCATCAACAGATTTCTGGACAGTTGAGACAAGACAAGAGAACGTACCCAAAATCATGATTCATTATCAGATTCCTGTACAGTTGGGACAAGACAAGAAAACGTACCCCATACCATGACTCCATCAATAGATTTTTGTACAGTTGGGACACGACAAGAAAACGTACTCCAAACCATGACTACATCATCAGATTCCTGTACAGTTTGGACAAGACAAGAAAACGTTCCCCAAACCATGACTCCACCAACAGATTCCTGGATAGTTGGTAAAACACAAGAGGGGGTTGAGTTATAATTTTGTCTTTTCCAAACCTGTCTGTGCAAAGAGGTCAAAGTATTGAACCACACCACTTGTGAACGTGTGAGCTCTTTACAACATTTGAAGAGTTTTTCTTGTCAGTCATTGAAATCATTGATTTATGCAATTGTCTTCTTCTGTTGTAATCCATTTGTTGCAATGTTCTTCTCAAGATACGACAAGGGTATGGATTGCCCTTCACTAAATGTCCGTCAGCTTGTGTTTTGTTTGATGATTGTTGGAATTTACCATCTTGTATTACCGCCTTTCTCCTCTTTCTCTCATTACGTTTTGTCATCCACAATTCCTCCTCACAGGAGACATTTTATTCACTTTTTTCCGTTGCTGATATACTCGATTCACCAATGCTAACCACTGTCTTAACCACTGTGACACCTTCTAAACGTGCACTCACTATTATGCTCCTTTTGAACCTTGCAATATCTTTGACTTTCCTCATACACGTTAGTCAGACTATAAATATGTTTCTCTCAGTCGTTTATAGTGCTGCAGGAATCAGCTTACACATCATGAGAGTATCGTAATTTTCAACTGTAGTTAGGTCAGGCCTAAGTCTGAAAGGGTACATAGGTTTTTAATAAAATGTTCAGCCAGTGTATATACACCGTGTGTAGGAACATCAGTATTATAAAAAAACATGAAGTATATAACAGATTTAAAAACAGATTGTGGCTGCTTAACGTGTCAAAGACCAAGGCTCGAACCATTATATGCTGCTGAACACAACACTCTGGAATTCCAGCTTTAGGAGCGTTATACCTGTGACAATCAGTTACGTTATTCAGTTAAACAAATCACTCCCTTTGGTCATGAATTAGATATGGCGTGACTGACTTTTCCATAAAGTGTTGCTGCTGTACACAACACTCTGGAATTCCAGCTTTAGGAGCGTTATACCTGTGACAATCAGTTACGTTATTCAGTTAAACAAATCACTCCCTGTGGTCATGAATTAGATATGGGGTGACTGACTTTTCCATAAAGTGTTGTTCATGTGGAGAATAACCACAGTTTTCACAGTATTTAGTCTTGAAGAAGGAAACTAATGAGAAACAACTGATTACACGTTAAAAACAAAGCTACACAATGGGCTATCTGTGCTCTGCCCACCACGGGTATCGAAACCCGGATTCTAGCGTTGTAAGTCCGCAGACATGCCGCTGTGCCACTGGGGGACATTAGTAGTGTTTGTTTGTAGTTAAGCACAAAGCTACACAATGGGCTATCTGTGTTCTGTCCACCACGAGTTTCTAGCGTTGTAAGTCCGCAGGCATACCGCTGTGCCACTGGGGGGGGGGGGTCTTCTAATTTGACGGACCAAATTAATAATGGATTCTATTACAACGTGTAGCCCACCCCACCATCCCCGGTGGCTCGGGTGAGTCTGGGGGATGTAACTCTAAAAAGCTGGTTTCTGTACCCTCGGTAGGAAGAGCACGGGCAGCCCATTGTGTAGCTTTGTGCTTAACAACAATTACAACGTGCCTAAAGATGACTTTGGCCTAAACACCTAAGATATTTTTTAGTCCTTTTTCTAATTTTCTTATTATTGATTTGTGGTTTTGTTTATGAATTAGTTGTTCACCAACTTTATTAATGTTTCTCTAAGTCTAATGTTAGTTCCAGCTATAAATACTCCACCAAAACTAACATTTAATTTGTGCGGTTGTTTTTTAACCACTACTAAGCCTAAATCCCAACTTGAATAATATAATAACTTTAAGTAATAACATTTAATTTTCATGTGTTTATATTTTCGTCTCTGATGACAGTTCCTCCACGTTTTGACACCGATTTTAACACTAAAATGGTGAGAAAAGGTGGCACAGTGATTGTCGCCTGTGAACCCCAGGGTGATAGACCCCTGACTGTAACTTGGGTGGCGAAAGAACAACTTATCACCAGTTCTTCTCCCAGGTAGGAAATGTTAATGGTCACGACTTCAGTCTTAGTTTGTAGTGGTTCATATTTAACAAAAAGAACGTTACCGTTCTGGTTGCCACGGGGTTTGTGTGTCTGGCAAAGCAGGTAAATTGGTTAGAGATGGCATCATGTTTAGGCAGGAGGTCTAGGTGAGAATTTGTGAATTTCGTTTCTGTAGCATCATACCTTCCCGCTACTCGACTCTCCAGTTGTCCCCAATGGTTCAGCAGTAAGCTTGAGGGCTTATAATATTAAAAATAGGGGTTCGATATCCGCGGTGGTTACAGTGTATATAACAAAAAAAAAACAATTCTACAATTCAACCTGTGTAGTTGTAATTTATCAGATATACATCTATTGTAAAATTACACTGTTGTAGATGTTTGAAGTTGTATGTATACTGATGTGAACATTAAATCTGGTCATCTTACCACAACCATACAAAACCCATTCCTCTATATTATTGTAGCCATCTTACCACAACCATACAAAACCCATTCCTCTATATTATTGTA